CTTTTTTCCTCTCTCCCATCTTTCCTCTGCAAGGTATTGTTACTATTTTGTTACTGATTTTTGCTGCAATAAACCCTTTTGTTTCAGTCACAGCAAGAAACAAAAACCCAAACAAACAGAAAACCCCTCTGGAAAGAGTAGAAAACAAAAGGTTTGACCAGAAATTAAAGGGGGGAGGGGGAAGGGGCTTGGTTTTGTTTTTAAATAGGACTGAAGTTTAACATTGAAAAATCAGGAGATGATGGCCAACCCTCTTTGCAAGGCAAAGCCCTCCGATAATTTCCGCATCTGTGGTTTTGTTTTAAATTCCTTTTTCTCTTCTGGGTGCTGATACTTCTCTCCATCCTCATGTTCTTGGTGTTTTGTTTTGTGTTTTTCATGTTTGTTTGTTGTTGTTGTTGTTTACTTTGTCACTACCTCAGTTTGCCCTCATGTCCCTTACACACAAGCAAAATACTCCTTCAGCGGAGCGAAGAGGTGGCGAATGACGGGCACGCTCCACGACCGGCCCAGCAGTCTCTGCCTTGCCAAGCGGCTCATGTTGGAGACGTCGGTATAGTGGACAGGGAAGCCAAACACCCTGGGGGAGAAAAGACAGGGCAGAAAAGGCAGGGGTGAGTGCTGGCCGGGCCCAGGACCAGGCTGCTAGGAGGCCGTCTGACCACACACTGTTCTGGTCAGGACCATGTGACCAGGAGCTGACCAAAGCGATGCTGACCCCTGTGTGTGCCCACACACACCCTCCCCTTAAGTCTGCAGAGTCTTCTGTCCTTCATGCTCAATGCAACACTGATCACCAACTCTGTGCCAGGCACTGTGCTAGTCTCTGTGGATTTAAAGGTAAGGATAATCACTGCCTAGAGGACTCGCAGTATTAGCAGAAACAAAGTTAGTATTTGCGAAAAATAGCCCCACCTCCCCGATATGCTCTAGCATTCCACCTATGTGATTTGGGTCCATAATGGACTTTTCAAGTCTGTATGCAAGAAACATACACTCCTAGTATCTTCCCCTACAAGAGAGAAAACTCTACAAGAGGCCGAACGCTTGCCTGACTTCACAAGTTCAAGGACTTCCTGTTTGTACTGGTTGTTTATATAAGTGGTCTCTTTCTCTGGCTAAACCCCAGTTACACCCAGAGAACGAGGAGGTAATCTAGCCTATGAGCCCAGTCTGCACCAAGCCAGGGGGCTGAGGCTGTAAGGTGCCCTAGTCCTACACTGTCTTGGTTTACAAAACCAGCAACATGGGTTGAGAAGATCCTGTAGCTGCAGTATCTCCTCGGAGCTCAACACAGGCTCTCTAGGAAGCCAAAGCATTATGGATTGATTTCTAGACTCCTCTAACTTGGGGGACCAGCCTTAAAGTGCACAGGGAGGGGGGCCTGGCTGGCCAGGATCCTCCCCAGCAGTCGGCCATGTTGGGAAATGCACGGTAACACCCACTGCTCCCATAGCACTTGTGGAAGATACAGATCTAGCCAGGAGAGGCAGAGGACCCTCTGTGAAGGACAGCAGTCAGAACAGAACACACCACACCATACCCATGATGCCCACACACCCGCCTGGGGTACCTTTCCATTTCAGTGCACCATAAGATGTCCTCTTTCTCATTCATGAAGACGGGGAAATGCTGGTCTTTGCCCTGCTTTATGGAGTTTGACCTAGTAGTAATGGTCCTCACTTTGCTGAACTGAAAGGTGAAGAGAGGAAAAGAGGAATGAGCAGCCACTCATTCAAGTTAACAAGCACGGTCGGCACCTGCTGTGTGCACCAGCCCTCACCAGGCACGGGTGAACCCAACACTGGAAAGGCCTGGCCCATCTGGGGGGCTAAGTAAGGGCTCCGGGGGAGCTGGGTTCACTAGTCTTGACTAAACACCACTGCCCTGCTCTTCTTCCTGCTTCAAGGTCACCTGGCAATCCTTAGTTCAATCCAGCTAGCTAAGGACTTGAGAGGTAACAGCTCTACCCACTCTACTTCCTGACTAAGTCTTCCAAAGAACAGGTTCTTTCACAGTTACAGTACCTTGTTTCACAGATGCAGTAACCTGGAGGCAAAAGGATGCCAAGTTACTCAGGGGCTCAAAGACATCCTCTGGGGTACCAGCAGTCCCGGATGCTGGAATCTGCTGACACGGAACCTAATGCCTTGTGCACTTGCTCAGTGAGATTTCTCCAGAAAGAAATAGAGCCTCCAAATCACAGGAGTCTGCTCTGCTTTGAAGGTATTTGCAATAGGTCCCAGCCAGAAAATTAAAAAAAAAAAAAAAAAAAATACCCATAGCAGGTCCAGGGACCTTGGCAAAGACTCCTTAGTGTCTCCCTTCCAGGGGATGGTGAGCAAGTCTGAAGGGCTGAAGACCAGCAATGACTTCTTGCTATGCCCTCCAAGGCTGACTGGTTGTATGATCCTGTACCAAAAAAACTCAAACCCATTGCCATAGAGTCAATTCCGACTCTCAGTGACCCCACAGGATAGAGGAGAACTGCCCCGTAGGGTTTCCAAGGAGTGGCTGGTGGATTCAAACTGCCGACTTTTTTGGTGAGCAGCTGAGCTCTTAACCACTGCGTGCCACCAGGGCTCTGCATGACCCTGTAGCATCTCCTATACTGCATTCCTCACACGAGCTGTGCCCACAGGCCTCGAGGGGCAGGTGAGACGTACTCCAGCTCATCTTGCCCTTCTGCCTTCTCTCTCCCCCCAGCAGGAAGACCCTGGGCCCTGGGGCTAACCTTGGCTATCCTGCCATGCTCCAGACACTCCTGCAGCTCCAGCTTATCGTTCATAGTGGACGCCAACGGCCTAGGAGGCAGAAGAGAGAATGTAACAACAGAAAGCCAGACAACAGCAGACACGCACAGCCACCTGACCCACTTGGGTAAGTAACAGACCCTCCATCACCACCCACACATGTTGCTCTCATGCCATCGAGTCGATTCCAACTCACAGCAACGCTATAACGACAGGGTAGAGCTGACCCACAGAGTTTCCTCGGCTGTAATCTTTGTAGGAGCAGATCACCATGTCTTTTCTCCCACAGAGCAGCTGGTGGGTTTGAACTGCCAACCCTTCAGTTAGCAGTCAAAGGCTTAACCACTGTGCCACCAGGGCTCCTTACACATTCAGTCCCCTTCAGACTCCCCCAAACACATGAAAATACACAGCAGCCCTGATGGACACAAATCCACCCAGCACTAATCCTTAAAGGTAAATGCAAAAGTGGTCCCAAACTGGTCTGTTATACAGTATGTCACCGGTGTTGTCTCGACCCAGTTTTGAAATCATGGATAAAAACTCAATTTCCTTTCATGGGCAGTTTGCTAAGCCCATACCCCAACTACCTCCCTTATCAGGCTTTGACACACTCCTGGGGTACAACACACATACCCACTGCCAGAGGCCCAGATGCCTGACACTCAACAACAGTCTTGGGCCTGCAGAGTTATTCAAATTACCCAATCCCCAGGGAACCCACAAAACCTAGCTAACCGACCCCTCTACTGCTGTCGAGTTGATTCCAACTCATAGGGACCATGTAGGACAGAGTAGAACTGCCCTACAGAGTTTCCAAGGCTGTAACTCTTTACGGAAGCAGACTGCCACATCTTTCTCCTGCGGAGCAGCTGGTGGGTTCTAACCGTTGACCTTTTGGTTAGCAGTTGAGTGCTTAATCACTGCACTGCCATATATGAGCTGCCTCTTAACAGTTCCAGCTTGCTGTTACCCTGTCCCTAGGTGCAACCCCCTGCGTAACCCTGTGTAGTAAACTCCTCTTGTTCAGAGCTATCCGTAATAAAGAGTTCTGCTTTTCATCGGGGAAAAAAAAAAAAAAAAAAAGGCAGTCCTAAACTATAGGTAGCACCTGCCCTGAAAAAGGGGGAGGGGGAGGGGGGGAAGCAATTATTTTTATATCAGTTATTTTAAAACACATTAGTTTTAAAGCTGTACACTGCAAACAAAGCTTCTAGGGTAACAGAAATGTTCTGTATCTTGGTTGTGGTACCACTGAACACTTTAAATGTACAGTTTTAAATTATACCTCAATAAAGTTGATTTTTAAAGTGTGTCAAAATGTAAGTAAAAGAGAAATATAGGCAAAATAATTAAAAAGTTAAATGTTGTGATATTTTAAACTGTTCCTGCTAAAAACTTCTACATACTCAATTTTACAAAAACTCACACTTTTATATAGGAGGTGCTGGCCTACAGGTCCTTATTCCTGAGCACCCATGGTGGTGGTTGATTAGCTCATGCACAGAAGGACCAAGGTCGCACGTGGCCAGCAGACCTCTGCATCACCATTGGCCTGGTCACCAGGCCTGAACGGTCCCGGCCACAAAGAGGAGCCGGCCATCTGGGGTAAAAAGAGTGGGATCCCCTTTCTCTCTCCGTGGACCACTCATGCAAAGGACAGAGATCAGACTATGACGCCTGTCCCTGTCCTTGCGGGATATCCCCTCCACTCTGGATGAAAATGAAGGCTGAAGTAAAGAATAAAAATACAGCAAAAAACTGACTGGGGGTGGAGAAGAGGACAGATCTCCACAAAGTGGGAGACAGGTTCCCAGTGGGCCCAGGGAATGGATGGAATCTGAAAGGCAGGTCAAGGTGAAGGTAAGTACACTGAAGAGGAGCCTGAGCAAAGACCTTGACTGCAGAGCAGAAGCAGGAAGGAATGGAGCAGACCCAAGCCGACGCGCTGCCTACGTACGTTCATGCATGTGTGGGCGTGCTGAAGGAGCATGTGCCTAGAAAAGCAGGAGACGGCCCATTTCCTTAAGCAGAGGAGAGATACAGGTGGGTCGTGACAGAAATCAGTAGTACAGAAAAGGAACCCATGTAGGGAAAGAGGAAATACGCCAGTAGTGAGAATGCTATGAGGTCCTAAACTAGGCCTGGGCCACAAAACTAAACAGTAGGAATTAAAAGATGCTGACTACAAAAACAGAAAAGGGTGTTGTGGAGGAAAATTCACCTGAAATGCTCTTCCCACAGATCTTCACACTCTAAGCCTTCCTTGACCACTTCGTTGTCTCCATGCCCTGGCCCTGCCTTATTTTCCAAGTGCTCACTGCCTCTTCTCCACATGCTCTAAGCTCTGCATCTCCAGCAAGAGTACCAGGCACACAGAAGGCCAACATCTTTCTTGAACAAGACATGGAAGGAACCCACAGTAGGTGATGGAACATCACCAGCCTCTGGGTCCACAGAAGACTCCAGAATGAAACGAGCCCCATAAAACCAAGCACAGCTGAGTGGGCATGGGCTGGCTTCAATCACAAGTCTAGGTGTTGCCATGGAAGCAGAAGAATTGGAAAGGAAGTCAGAAGACTTAAACTCTTCTTTAGTCACCAGAAGACTAAAACATTGTGGCCCTTGAACACGTCACTCTTCCTCAGAGGGAGTACCAGATAACTGAACATCACTTTCTGACATTTAAAAATAATTAAGGCAGCAACAACAACCAAAAAATATATGTGTGGGTATATATGTACGCATATATGTGTATAGGTATGCTTATGTGATTTATATATGTGTGTATATATAAATGTGTGTATATAGATACAGATGTGACTATACGCACATATATTCATATATATAATAAAGCACACAGAGGGCACAGTTACGGATACTTCTTAGACATAACCAAACACCTTGTGCGATTGGTTTTCTGGGCTTGAAGGATTAGGACCATAGTCTTGTGGGACATCTCAGTCAGCTGACATAATATAGTTCATAAAGTTATGCTCTACATCCTAGTTTGTAAGTAGTGTCTGGGATCTTAAAACCTTGTGAGTGGCCAACTATTTGTCTCTACTCACCTGCAGCAAAAAAGAGAAGAAAACCAAAGACTCAAAGAAGAAACTGTCTACAGGACAAACAGTCCACATAATCCATGGCCTCATTTTCCCTGAGAACCGAAGAACTAGGTGGTACACAGATACTACTATTAACCTTTCTAATCAAGGCTACGATAGATGGACCCTAACAGAAAGGGAGAAAATGTAAACCAAAACCTCAAATTCCTTAAAAAAAAAAAAGGAACCAGACTTACTGGACTGGTTGAGACCGGAGGATTCCCTGAAACTACTGTCCTGAGATATTCTTTAAACCTTGAACCCTTAAGGCCACCTTGTAGCTAAATAACAGATGGGCTCACAAAATAATGAATATCACCCATAACTACCGTGCTCCTTTAAAAATACCTATGAGACCAAATGGTCAACAATTACTTTAAAACAAAGATGAGAATGTAAGGGGTCAGGGAAACTAGATCAATGGAAATGGAACAACCAGAATGGAAATAATGAGAATGTTCATGCATTATGAAGAACATAACCAAGGTCACTGAACAATTTGTGTAGAAATTGTTGAATGGGAGCCTCAACTGCCATGTAAATCTTCATGAGAACCATGATAAAATATTAAAAAAAAAAAAAAAAAAAAACAAACTTGGTGAAGGTTCACATAGGGTTCAATGGTCTCAGCATGGGAGCTCCTGGAACCTGTGCCTCCAGGTTCTCCCATGACTCTGTGCACACACACCCTTCTACTGGCTCCCACATGGTACCTCTGCTCCTCCTGGAACCTCAGAGTTTTAGAACTTTAGAGTTGGAAGAAACAGGTGAGAATCATCCCACAGGACAGAGTCTGTCAGGAGACAATGAATGAGCTACTCCATGAAAACACTGGACCACACAAGCCAGCCCACTTTTCTAATTTGTACATACGCTTTGGGGGCTTTTGAGGGGCACTGAGACAGTTTTGAGTCAGCTACCCCACTGACCCATCTTCTTCCCATCAACAAGCCTTCACAAAGGACAATAGCTTTGTCAAATGAGTTTGAGACTACTGAGTTCCCTCCTATAGGGAGATTACATGACTGAGGCCAGATTAAATGATACTTTCAGTTTACAGCTATATCTTGGTTTCAAATCTACAACTCAAAAACATTCTGGAAAATATTTCTTTCATAATGGATACGTAAGAAGCCCTGGTGCCACAATGGTTAAAGTGATCCACTGCTAACCAAAAGGTCAGCGGTTCAAAACCACCAGCGGCTCTGAGGGAGAAAGATGTCGCAGTCTGCTTCCATAGAGATTTACAGTTCTGGAAACCATATGGGGTTGCTATGAGTCAGAATCAACTCTACGACAGTGGATTTGGTTTGTGGAATGGCTATCTAATATCTAGACTGGGTGGATCTCATTCTGCTTCTGAACTGCAGTCTTTCAACCAGAATTCCTTTCTTCACGTAGGCCTTTTTATAAGGTAATTATTACACTGAAGAAATAAAGCTGACAAGTGCTTCCCTTCAGTCAATGGACATTAAAATTCTTATGTGTGTAACCTAAATGAAAAAATCCTTCCAACAAAGGACCTGGAGCCAACAAAGTGTGTGGTTAATAAACTAAGCAGAAACCTCTGACTTACTTGGTGCTGTTTCAAGATGCCCTCTCCTAGAGTATGTGACCAAGATGTGGGCACCACTACCTCTCTCAGCCCTAGCCCTATCCTCTGAGGCTTTATTTCAGAGAACTATAAGGACCAGTTGGAAGAAGACGCTGGACACACTGCCAATGCAGGAAAACTAACTACATAACTCAGCAGCATGCCATTTTTACTTCGTGTAAAGAATGTCCTGTTTTTGTCCACTAATTGTTGCTTTCTCAGGTATGTATACCATGACTCCCTTTATTTCCTAAGGAAAAAGAAACAGAGAAGAAAATGACAGAGCAGCAAGCCATTCCATAGGGGAAGCTGGCCTGAGAGGGCCCATTCAGGGATCCCTCAACTCCTTGGGCCATCCTGCTTCGGTCCCGTTCCACTGCAGCACCAACCCACAGCCACCCCGAGGCCCAGGAGCTCTCACCAACCTGTTCATACCGGGAAGGTTACCCCAGAAGTACCGGGCCCTGTGTGCAGCTGACACTTCTTTGGCATCGATCATCACAGGGTTGGACTATAAGACAAGAGACAGAGTAAAGATGAGAGAAGGAGAAGGCATATTAAACAGTGCCAGGCAACTTTGCTGGCTCAGAGCCTTAGAGCCTCAAAGGCTTCTACTTATCTCACGAGACCACACACTGGATAACCCGAAGGTGCATGGCAAAGCTAGAATTCAACCTGGCCACAGTTCACGTGCACTGACTGGGATACTGTAGACCAGCTGAACTTTTTGGTGATGATAAAAATGTTCTCTATATGCCTTGCTCAATACAGTAGCCCCACTACCCACATGTGGCTAATGAGTATGTGAAATGTAGCCATGGTGACAAGGCACTGGGTTTTTAATTTAAATACTCACAGGTGGCCAATGGCAACCATAATGGACAACTCAGCTCTAGACTACCCAGAAGGTTTGAAAAAGAAAGCTCCAGTGAGTGTCGATGTGTTTACTGAATGCTTAAGAATATGAGCCAAATAGACACCTGCTCGCACTTAAAAGTCAGTAACACCATCATGAAGCATCACTGACCCTAAGACTCTGGAGCATGGGCTTGAGCTCCCAGACTGCTCACCCAAGAATGCCTCTAGCAGCAGAAATCCTGAGTGCACTGGCTCAGTGCTGAGCTGGGACCCACATCATACGAATAAAAACTGAGATAAACCAGGCTGTCATTTCAGGCTTTGTAAAGCATCGGTGATGGTGCAGGGAGTAAGGACGGGGGAGGAGGACTGTTTCTCCTGGCCATTCTTATCAGGGATAACTGGTTCTGGCACCTCCGGGTCCCCCAGTGGAGTATCACACAGAACCCCCAGTCCCAGAAGTCTGCTACCCATCCTATTTAGTAAACCAGGTCCTTCTACCCCTAAGGTCCATACCCACACCTCAGTGAGCATGACCACTGGCTGTTTCCGGGGTGGGCCTCTAACCCTGCTTCCTCCCTTTCTATCTGGGAAGCCCTTTGCTTCCCAAAGGGGCCCCTTGCAAAGCAGAAGTCCCCAGTCCCCAGCTCCACAATGCAGATGAGACAGGGATAAAGCAGCAGTCCAAGGTAGAAGCCATTAGTGAGCTGGCCAAACCAAGGGTGCTGGCTATACCTCGAGAAATCGCGAGATGTCCCTCTTGTCACTAACGCCCATGGCCACCACATTCTCAAAGAGCCAGAAGAAGGGGCGGTCATCTCCCTCCTTGGGCCGCGCATCATGCAGGAGGCGGTAGAACTCAAAGAAGAGCCGGCCAGTGCCCTCTGAGAGGTTGGAAGAGAAAGCCATCAGCTGGGGCTGTCTGCGTAGACAGTGGTGTGGCTCGGGCAAGGGGAGGGTGAGGGAAGATAGGGTCGTTGGGAGTAGCTGTCCCAGGGCAGAAATAACCAAGTAGGAAACCTAAGTGCAGAAGCACCAGCCCAGAAAGTGGAGGGGAAGAAGACAGCACCTACCGTAGAGTCCCTTTCGGGCAGGGTTGACGATGGAGAGGTCATTGCAGGGACTGCCCCCAATCACCAGATCGAATGGGCCCCACTCCTGGATCTGGGAGGATAAAGGTAATGTGATGGGCCTGCTGTCCAGGGACAGAGGCAGAAAGGAAGAAAGAAATTATCTGTGAAAATGTGGCAAAAAAAATCCGTAGTCAGGAAACCTGGCTGCTTTGTACGCTCACTCCGCCCTAACTGTGCAGCCATGGGCAAGTCACCGAGGCTCTCTGGTCTGTCTCCTAAACCGGAAAGGGAAGGGTCAGAACTGGTTATCTCTCTCAGGCCAGGAGCAAATCCAGTGTGCTCAAAGCAGGACCAACAGCCACTCGGTGGGAAGGCGGTCCAGGTGGGATAGCTTAATCTCAAGGCACCTTGTGTTCTGAGTACGTTAGGCAGGTACCTGGGCCATCTGAACACGCTCCAAACGCCCCTTGGGATTCCAGGGGCCTTTTGATTTCAAAGGGAGATAGAGATAACTGAAAGGGCAAAAAGTGACGTCATACTTAGACTAAAACCCTGCCAAAACTCCCAGAAAATAGTCCGTGAAGCAATTTCCCAAAGTTGGAGCACGGGGAAAAGAGGAACACCTCCCTCCAATCCGGAACACTCTTACTGGAACGGGACGAAACTCCCTCCAATCCAGAGCACTCTTACTGGAAGGGGCCGGGAACCTCTCTCCAGTCTGAGCCATTCTACTGGAAGCGGCCGGAAACCTCTGTCCAATCTGAGCCATTCTATTGGAGGGGCCCGGGAACCTCTCTCCAATCCTGAGCCCTCTACTGGAAGGAGCCCTACAAAGAACCCTGAGAGCAGCTGGAGCGCCAAAAGGCTAGCTCTCTGATTCTAATCTGTTATCCTCCAGACAAAAATGGAAGGTCAGGAGGAAAAGAGGGAAAGGGGAAAGGGTGGAATGGAAAATAGTAAATGAGCAAATGAAAAAGGGGCTGGTGCTGTGTCCAGGAGCTCGGTGCCAGAGGAAAGGAGGTGGGATGGGTCCACCGGCACAGACATACATGCTTCTGGGTGACGCTGCGGACGTCGCCGACGTACATGATCTTCCCCTGGTGCCGCACCATGCCCACTGTGATGGAGTCCTCACACACCTCCGACGCAATGTAGCGGTCCACCTGGATGCCCAAGTCCTTCAGCACCAGAAGCCCTACGCCAGCCAGCAGAGAGCGCTGTTACTCGGGGTCAGCTCCCCGGGTACCCTGGTCTCGGCAGGTTAGCCCTTGGGCCAGCTGGACACAAGGGGTCCACTGCAGGCCCCCACCCCATCCTGCCCAGTAGCTGCCTTAAAGACTTTCTGCATCAAATGGGTCTACTAATGATAACACACACAGGCTCTGCCTCGTAACTAGTTTGGCCTACTTCGAAGGCGGTCAAGGCCAGGGAAGACGGACCAGTCAGTACATGTCTTCAGGACCCAAGAAGAAGAGCAGTAGACTTTTTTGGTGGCCGTTGCTATGGTATTTCTACATCTTGCACAGACTGGTTCTTCTCCTCCCCCATATCCCCTCCTGCTGTCGTGCTACCCTGTCCTTCAAGACTCAACATAAATGCCACCTGCTCTAAAGGTTTCCTCAATGCCCCACCCCATCTCCTGGAGTCACATCTCCTTCAGGAACCCCGTAACACTGTGGATCTTTCTCCACCTCATTAAAGCTGCTTGCATTCATAATTGAACCCTTCTCTTGGATTACAATGCTCTTCAAGACAGAGTAGGAGGTCTCATTCATTGCATCTCCTCCTGAGTGAGCCACACTGACTGACTTACCAGGCCCCTCCTTAAGTGCTTGCAAGAAAACAATTAGAACAGACCCTAAGAGCTTCAGAGAAACCAGGGTACACTGGCACCATTTCTACTGCTCCCAACAGACCCCTGACCAAGGAGCTTTCACACTTCTTGGGGGGTGACATGATTTAAGAAGGCTCCAAGCTTCTAGTCTGAGAAACCAAAGTTGTAAATTCACCTAAGTTTCTATCACATGGCAGCCTTGAGCTGAGAAGAGACAAACATTCTGGCCTGGTATGCCAGCCCCATCCTCACCCTTTGGCCCAGGTCCTCGGGCTCAGACTGCCTGTCTCCCTCTGGCAAGATGAAAGCAAGTTTCCATCTCAGAACTGGGGGCTCTACTGAAGGTCAAAGTGTGAGAAAATGGGCCCTCAGGCTGGGACAGCGCAGAGGGGTGGAGACATGTCAGTACAGCCCTTCTGGCAGTGCCAAGAGCCACAAGAAAAAAAAGTGTCTAAGGGTTTTTCCTAAGGAGATAGCGGTTTAAGTATGTAAAGATGCATGTATAAGGATGTTTATCCCAGCATTGCTTATAATAATGAAAAAACATCACACAACCTAATTAAGGGGTTGTTCTTGCTGTGAGTTGTTGTCTAATCAGTTCTAATTCATGGCGACCCCATGTGTGCAGAGTAGAACTGCTCCATAGGGTTTTCAAGGCTGTGACCTTTCAGAAGCAGATCTCCAGGCCTGTCTTCCGAGGTGCCTCTGGGTGGGTTTGAACCGCCAACCTCTGGCTTGTAGTTGAGCGCAAACTATTTGTGCCACTCAGCGAGTTAAAAAAGACAAAGAAAAAAAGAACCATGTCACTTTCACTCAACTGAATCCTATGCAGATTGTACAAATAATGAGTACAATAAATGAAAAGGCAAGTTACAAAATAGAAAGCATTTACTGGAAAATAGTCATAATAAATACATGAAAAGGCAAGTTACAGAACGGTAAGCATTTACTATCCCTTCATTTTATTTATATGTGTATGGTTACACACACACACACACACACACACGCATGCACAGAAAAGTCTAAAAGACACCAAAATATTAACTGTGAGATCATGGATGATTTAAATATTATCCTTAGACTATTTTGTTTATAGTTTGCTTTATGAATACCTGTGACTTATAATCAAAACACAACAGACCTACGTATGTTTTTGTTTTGATCACTGAATCTGTCAGAGGTGATCTCCATGAAGGCTTTGTGGGAATCTTCAATTGAGCTCTAACTAGCGACCCCCTCTGTCCTCTGCCATAGAATCTCCTTCCTAAGGAGAGAGCCCACTGCATGTGCTGGTTTCTCATTTACTTTACTTGTTTTTGGCCACATCACGTGTCCTTTTCCATTTAACACAAGTATCCTCTTTGTGCTATTATTTTAATAGTTATAGTGTTAACTCTTGTTGTCTACCAGGGTTAAACACACACACCCCCGGGCAGAGCTACCACACCCCCGGAGGAGGTTGCCAGGGCCTTTCTGGGCCTACATCACTCTCACCTGTAGCGATTCCATCGAACAGGGATAGCACCCGGATGGGCTTCCTCTTCTCGGCCGGGACAGGTGGATATACCTTCGGAGGGTCCTAAGCAGTGACACAACAGGCCAGGTCAACGCTCAAAGGGGAGTTCTATAGAGGGGAGTTCTACAGCGCTACACCCTGGGCTAACCCCAGCTGCCAAGGCACACCTTCAGGCTTCTAGCCCCACACAACCCTGCATCCCGCTCAGAAGCCTCTTGTTCCTCCTCTCCAGGGCCCCCATGAACAAGTGAAGCTCTCTCGGGTGGAGCCTCAGCCCCAAGTCTGCTCTCTGGCTCTGGTAAGGAGGGCCAAGCCTTGGCCCCAGCACTCACAAATTCCTGGTCGTGGTTGTTCGCAAAGAACATCTGGAGCCGAGAGGGCCAGTCGTCCCGCCGCCGCAGCAGCCCGTAGGTGCCCTTGTGCCCACACATATAGCAGTTCCAGGGGTCTTCCTTAATGGCCGCCTGGGCAGCCCCCGGCCCCACCAAGAGATCCACACACTCCACGCAAAAGCACCTGGAAGGAAACCCAGTGTAGCAGGGAGACTCTCGGCCCCAGTCCAGGGAGGATAAGGTGAGCTCCCCGGAATGAAAGCGCCAGTCTAGAGCAGAGCTGGGGGCCCAGGGCAGAGTGCCCCGAAGCCCAAGAAGGGCAGGGACAGGCATGAGAGTCCTGGTGCTAGCCTGGGGAGGGGGGCGGATGTGGTCCAGGCGGGCAGCCTCACCTGCAGCAGTTGTTGTTCCCACACATGAGCACCTCACGCCCCCCGCAGCAGATGGTGCAGTAGGACTGATAGCCGTCGTCATCGTACTGGTACGCACACTCCAGGAAGCAGTTCTAGAGAGAAGTGGGAGGCTCAGAACATAGGGCAGGGCCTGGACAGAGCCAGGGGAAGGCAAGCTTTGAACCCCAGCCTATGGGGCTCTTGCTGCAGGACCCCAACTCAGCCTTGGGCACATGACCCTACCACCCCGCCCTGCCAGGGTCAGGCTCGAACCACAGATCTGGGATGGGAAATGAGATCTCCTGACCCGCTGCAGTGGGCAGAACCAGAGAGGGGCAGAAGGCAGGCCAGGGAGGGAGCCGCACCCCATTTTGTCCCCTGCTGCAGCCCTTTCCGGGGTTCCAAGGGCACAGCCAGTCATCAGTCAACCAGCCTGTCCTCTTCCACCCACCTCCTTTACACTAGTGACTGTGACTCTGTGAATCCTGCTCCCAGCCCACATCTGGGGACTAGAATGGGCTTTAGAGAGGGAAAGAATGTTTCAAAGAAGAAAAAATAACAGCAAGTCAAAACCTGGAAGACCAAGGCCCCATTTTATCCCAGGACTCTCTACTTCAAGAGTGACCATTCAAGTCATCGTCACACCTACACCAGGTGCCAACCCTCCAGCAAGCCCACCTTCAGAGGCGAGGCAGTGCAGTCAGCCAGGCGCTGAGGGGTGCGCTCGACAACAGCTCTGCTGGGTGAGCCCCTACCTTGCAATTTTGGCACATTCCTCCGATGAAGAGAGGGTGTTCCAGGGTGACGTTGAGGCTCCCACAAGAGATACAAATGTCTGAAAAGCAGAGTGCACGGAGTGGGTATCATGTAGGGACCTCTCAGGGCAAAGCCTGGCTCCAGGAGAGCCACAAAAGGGGCATGCTGAGAAGCAGCTAAAAAAGAAGGCAGAGAGGGGTCAGGGAGGGTACCCCCTGGGGCAGCAGGCACCATGGCCCCCACTCTCAGAGGCTCATTCATTTCTTAGAGCAGCAACGCCAACACTTAGGAAGAGGGACAGAAGCCCGCCAATGAGAGCAGGGCTCTGGCTCTGGGGCTGCTCTGGAGGCATTCCTGGGGCCGTCCTCAAGTCCTGCTCCCTTGCCCCAAATCCTTCCTGGCCCTGAGAAGGCCCTGGGAAAGACACACCACTAGGCCAAGGGAGACCGAACATGGGAAGCTTTATGACCACTGGATAAGAGAAGGTGAAAACAGGTCAGAGGCCAAAAAGGTCATCTTCAGGCAAGTTCGGTCAAATCCAAAAGGGGGCCAACCATCTCTGACTCACTGGGTGTCCCACACCCTAACACCCAGCTGAGGCCAGCGACAGGACAGCAGAAATGTGGCACTAGGAAGACAGGCGTGTGTGTGGAACAGGCTGGAGGTGGAGGGCCATACAGGACAGATGCTGAATGACAACGTCCCTGGAACCCTTATTCCCTATTATTCAAATCTTCCTAAGTACCTATCCTACTCAGAGGCAGGCAGCACGCTAGGAGTTAAGTTCTGCCTGTCTGGGAGCACCAGGTCATTCAAGTCCCACGTGGGTCAATGCCTACCTGTCCTGTGGCAACTCACCCTCGATGTTCCGGCACTTCTGTCGCACCTCGTACACCAGCCGCTCTGCAGAGGGGAGGAAAGCCAGTATCAGGGAGGCCATGAAGGCCACACCCACTCCTGTGAATGAATGCCGGACTCCCCGTGTCGCTCTTTCCAGAGCCAGGCCAACTACCTCTTGTGCGTTCATCAATGATCTCCTTGACCTTGGGCTTCTCGGTTGTGCTCTTTCGGGGCTTTTTGGCTGGTGGGGGTGGTGCGTAGGCAGCTGCCTCAGGTTCAACCCACATGTCTGTGTAAACTTCTTTGTAGGGATTCTTCTCCTCTGTCAGGAAAGCAGGTGACAAGGTCAGGGGTACAGGCTGACAAGGAAGCCTAGCTCCCTCCTCCTCTATTCTACCTATATTGGGGTACATCCTGCTCTCCAACTTGTTCCCAGCTCCCATCTCTCTAGTTCCAGCAAGCCAATGGGGAAAGGAATGTTCTGGGGTCCCGGAGCGGCACTGTCCCCACACTAGCCCCAGGAAGAGGGGTCCCCCCACAGAGGCCAGGCTGCTGTCCCCAAACATGGCTTTCCCAGCCCCGGCATGGCTCTGCTTGGTTGGCAGGGGTCCCAGAAGGCTGGGCCGGGCCTCTGCACTTACCTTCTGGTGGCTCCAGGCCTTTGGGGCCAGAGGGCTGGAAGCCCCCAAGTGCCCACTCAATCATCTGTTTGTTCTGCACCTCCACGGCCTTGGCAGTGTCACTCTCGTCGTTGTCATGGCACGCCGGGAACAGCTTCCCTGCGCGGCTGCTGGCCACCTGAAGGGTAATGTGTTAGGCACAGGGTGTCAGGACAGGCTGGAGGGCAAGCAGTCAGACTCAAGGCTGACCTCTGAGAGAGTAGCAAAGGTGGGCACAGGCGAAAGGTGGGAGAAGGTGCAGGGTGGGGGGACGGGGGGGACTTGGAAGAAGAATGTCCGAGGAGGCAGTGTAGGAAGGGTCAGTGAGGTGGGGAGAAAAGGAGTCACAGCCAAAGGGCCCCTCAGGCAGACCTTCTGCCCAGGCCTAACCTCTGTGCACCAGGTTCCAGGCCACCTAGTGATCCCTGTTATCTAAGCCCCCTCCTCCAAGCTCCTGGGAGGGCACTCACCTGTAGGACTTCGTAGATGGCTTTGCGGTACATGGGCTGCTTGTTGTAGGTGGCCTGGTGGAACGCACTGCAAAAGGAGCTCAGCGGCATCAGCTTCTCAACACACACCTGGAGAAACAACCCAGGCCCCTCGTTTGCTCCTCCTTCCACACTCGTCATGCACCCACCTCATGCCTGGCAATTATTAGGGGTTGGGAGCATTAAGACTTAGTCTGTGCCCTTGAGGGAACCAGATGCATCGATAAATAATTACATGATGCAAACAGGAGTCCAAACTAACTGTGGGGGAGAACCCGAATAGAAGAAGGAAAGGAATTCTGGGGAATGGGTTCCTGGAAGACAAACTCGGCACCCTAGCTCTCCAAGCCATGGGTGCAACCTAACTATTGCTGAGACTTCTCCCATTCATACATACACAGAGTGGGAAGCAGAGCCCACTTCTACCACCCCAATTCCAGACTGTGCCCCAGCCAAAACCACAGGCCCTGGGACCAAGATCTCTTCCACTCCCAGGCAACCGTCAAACCCCACAACTCACCACTGAGAACTTGCCGTCTCCAAACCACATGACCCAGCGGGTGCCTTCGGCTGCTCGGCTCCGGCCCGTCATCCACCAAGACACAATGCGGCCTGGCCACCAGGAGAAGCCCCGCAGTTTTCCCCACACGAGTTCCCCAATGCCAAAGCCCCGGCCATCCTGGAGCCCCAGGGAGCAGAAATCATTACACGGTGGTCAGTAGGCCCTGCTACCCCGCCCCATGGCAACCCCAGCAATGGGCATCTGAGGGTCAGGACAGCCAGAAGGGAGCTCCATCTGAATGGATGAAGACAGAGCAGAACGGAGGAGATGAAGAGGCCTGGGGTCCAGTGTGGAGGGCAGCCAGTGGGAGGTAGAGTGAGGATTTGGCAGTGTAAGGGCCCAGGAGAGAGCTGGACAGGGTACGAAGAAGCCAGCCGCTCACCTCGTACTCCGGTTCATCATCAGCTGCTTTGGTGGCATTCTTGTCCCCCGCATCAGCCCCCACAGGCTCAGGTGTGGTGGCCACAGTGGGGGATGCGGGGTCGGTAGGCTGCTGCACAGCAGGAGGGCTGGCCTCCTCCACCTTCTGAGATTCCCCGGATCCCTGGTTTTCTTCCACAGCATTCATTACTGCAATTACCTTGGCTTTCTTCTCGGCCTGGGGAAACAAGGAACAAGAGTTACCTTGACCTCTCCAGGAATTAGCAAGGCCACCTGATCCTAGGAGGAGGGGATGCTCTTCTCAGTCTGTTTCTGGGAACGATGATGGAAGGTAAAGGGCTGGAGAGCAGAGATCTACCCTCACCAACCCAACTGGCTTGCCCACAGGAAACTACAAGATTTGAAGTTGAGAGGTGAACTCAAATCAGTGGGCTCAATTCTATCCTTCTCTCCTGCCTCTTAGGAAATCTCCCTCCCTGGTCTAATCCTCCTCTACCTCATCAGCATATCAACTGCCCACCCTCTGAGATGGAAAGGTTAATTCTATTCAAACATCAACTGCACACCTCTGTTTATGCACAGAGCCTGACTCCATCCTCTCCTATCTGACTTCCCAATCAAAAATTGGATCCTCTCTTCAACACAGTTTTCCTGGGCAATCAGCTCCTTCGACTCTGGGTCTTGGCTTCCAGACCACAATTCCAGTTTGTAATGTCTACTGATGATGAAACTCACAGCACTGAGTTTAGAGAGCATGTCTCCCTTCCTGTCTGCTCAAACACTATAGAAAGCTCCGTAAGAGCCTGCCTGTTCCTACGTTCAGACACCATTCTAGAGTTCCCAAGGATTACATCCACTGTACACTCTGTTACTTTCTTTTTATGGACACCACTCTACCCCTTCTTCTATGTGTACCTTTTAGACCCATATGTAATTATTTATGAAAGGATCCCTGGTGGCACAACAGTTAACCGTCCGCTAAACTGAAAGGTAGGTGGTTCAACCCCACCCAGCACCTCCTAGGGCGGAAGACCTGGCAATCCACTTCCATAAAGATAACAGCCTAGAAAACTCTATAGGGCAGTTCTACTCTGTCACACAAGGTCACTATAAGTTGAAACAATTTGACAGCACCTAACAACAACATCCTCTCTACCATCCCACCAACAATAATCCAAACCCTATTCTCCCAACAGGACAGACTTTGCCCTTTCACCACATCACACTCCCTTTTCAGGCTCTGGTCTGCGTAACCATCCCTCTCAAAATCTGCTCCAGGATCTGTCACCCTACAAAGAATAAAAGCCTTGATATTTAGCTCTGAGAACCATCCAACCTAATCTCACCCCAGCTACTGAATCTACAACACATAGCCCTCCAATTTTAAGAGTTTCCACCATGCCAGATTAAGAAAAAGAAAATCCCACTTCAATTTGAAGCTTTCCCCAAGAGCATCAAGGAGTGAATACAACCTTATCCTCTAGGTTAAAAAAAAAAAAAAAGAAGAATATTAGAGAATAACTTGGGCCTTTCCTCAACTGCTGCTAAGGTGCTTGGTCCTTCTGAGGAAGCTCAGGCCATGCTGGGGTGAGGCCCTCACTCCCTCTGGAGAGTAGCACTGCCCGGCAGCCACCAGCTCAACACTCTCCAGCACCATGGCCTCCGTTTTTCCAAGCTCACCTGCATCTACAAGGCCCTCAACCTGCAATGAGGTGACAGTTACAGTCATGGAGGGTAAGATCAATGCTCTCATCACAGCAATCTGCATTAACTGTTGAGTCTTTCTGGCCTGGCTTGTCTGCAAAGGCCCTGGCTAGCGTCATCAGGGGGAGCCCCATCAGCAACGTAGGGGCTGGTGGACTTGCCCCCTCAACCACTGCTGCCCCAGCTGAGGAGAAAGTGGAAGCAGAGAAAGAATCTGAGGCGTCTGATGATGACATGGGCTTTGGTCTTTTTGACTGAATTCCTTTTGTAACATGTTCAGTAAAAAACTGAACTGTTAAAGAAAAAGAAAGTAACTTAGAGTATGATACAGAATTCTAAACTAGTCACAGCATCTACATACTTGTCTTAGCCTGGCAGCTAGTTAGAAACAGACCTTCCCACTGCCGTAGAGTCGATTCTGACTCATAGCGACCCTACAGAACACAGTACAACTGCCCCACAGGGTTTCAAAGGCTGTAATATTTACAGAAGCAGACTGCCACATCTTTCTCCTGTGGAGCGGCTGTGGGTTCAAACCACTGACCTTTAACCACTTTAACCACTGAGCCACCAGGGCTCCCTTTAGGAGTAGACTTCAGGGAAGTCTTCTGAGTTTCTTCAACCTAAAATGGTGCTTGAACTAAAGGATTTCTGATAACCTTTTCAGACCTGTTTAGGAATCTGATCTATCAGGGATTCCAAGGACTTTTCCAAAGCTTGTCAATCGGACCCCAGATCCAAGGGTCCCAAATTAATTATTACAATATCCAGGAGCCCCGGTGGCGCAGTGGTTAAACGCTTGGCTGCTAACCGAAAGGTCAGCAGTTCGAACCCACCAGCTGCTCCACAGAGAAAGATGTGGCAGTCTGCTTCCATAAAGATTACAGCCTTGGGAACCCTACCGGGCAGTTCTACTCTGTCCTATAAAGTCGCTATGAGTCAGAAACAACTCAATGGCAATGGGTTTGGTTTTTTATTATTTTATCCAATGAGTATAATGTCTTATGGATTCATTCATTTTATTTTGTCCTATCTTCAACTCTTTGCCTCCTGGTCACAGACCAAAGCTGTTTCTTGTGGTGATTCCTTAAACACTGAGGATGCGAGTTCTAGTTCTTTCTCTGACTGAACAAATTCTAAAATGGGATAATGCATCCTTTGCCCCCAGCCCACAAACAGCTGGGAAAGTGCACCCGGTGGATCCTGGAGGTGGAAGACTGAGAGCAACTGCTCTCCCTTCCCTCTTTCCGCTCTCACCTGGCCAGGACTTTGCCTTCCCTGTCCTACTCTCAATTATCTATCACCTCCTCCCCCACCAGAAGGTGTACCAAAGCATGGACTCAGCCCTAGGGGGATGGGGCTTTCTTCTACTCCAAGCTGCCCCCTCTCCTGGGCTCGCAGCAGCTACCACCCCAGCACCAGTCAGTCCTCTCAAATCAACGCCTCACTGGCTGGCTGCTCCCTTCCGTCCCCCATGCCCCCTCAAACCTCAGGCGTGGGCCACTGGTGCAGACCAGACCAGGGCATTGCCTTGGATGACCCCAAGACCCTCCTCCCAGGGGTGACGAGACCCCTCAGTCAGCACAGGGTATGCAGGTGGCAGAGGGCAGGAAGGGGAGAGCAGCCTTCCAAGGAAGGTCCTGATAGGCCTTCCACAGCAAGTAGCAGCGGGTGGGCGCCAGGCTCCTCTGCAGGCTCCCTAGGTCTAGGAGTCGTGCATCACACAGCCCCCCCCACTCCCCCACAGCCCCTTTGTCTCTTCTCAACCCCTCCACAGCTAGTTCCTGAACATTACTCTTCCCCCACAACTTCCCCCAGCTTGTCAGATGCTGCTGCTGATAGCTGTTAAGCACCCTCAACCCACTAGGTGCAGGAGAACACACACCCAGCATGGTTTGGGCTGATGGAGGAGGAAGGGGAAAGAAGGGGGTGGGGAGCAGCGGGAGGCTGGAGGGAGAGAGACAGTGGCTGGTTGGGGGAGGGGCCTCATTAGAATAGTCTGCCTAGGGCAGTTCGGGGAATGCATCCTTTACACCATCCATTTTCACCCCAACCCTCCTCCCTAGGCAAACAATAGGGGAGAAGGGTTAACTCTATGGCTCTCGCCTTTTGGCTAAAGGCTCCGGCCTCCAGTTTAAGGGGTCATGCAGCCTCGGGGCTTTTACCTTGGACCAACTTCCTAGCCCCTGAGCGAGCATCAGAGACTGGGCAGGAGCAGGGAGAGACCCTCCACCACTGCTCACTGCAGTGGGCTCTAGGAAGCCGCTTCATCTGGAGTTTGCCCAGCCTGGGAAAGACACTGGGAACTGCTACTCTCCCCCGTGACTTGGCCTACCCCCCTCAACTACACTCCTGCTGCCCCATCCAATTCCTTCTGCTCAGACAGCTGTCCCACCTCCACCTCCCTCTGCAACTGGGGCCCGCTTCCCGTTCCAGTTCCAAAGGTCAGGAGTCTGAGCACCACTGCCCCCAGCCCCACGCAGACGCCCCACTGGGGCTTTCAGTTCAGGGCTATCCCAGGCTGGCATCACGCTGCCCCCCAGCACCCACTGATGTGAGGGTCCTGTCAGGGTCCCATTGCTCCCTCCTACCCCTTCTTTCTGGCTGCCTGCCCGGTGGCTCCCAGGAAAACGCAGGAGAGGAAGCTGTCCATCTCAAGAGGCCGCTGGGTTGGCACAGCCCTGAGGACAGCGTGGCCCACCAGCCAGGGATACAGGTCTACAGGGAAATGCCAACAACCCATCTGCCAGCCAGCCCAACAAAAACGCAGCTCCCAAACCAACTTCTGGTCTACCAGCTCCACTCTGCCCAGGGCTGCTGCTCCCCAAGGCTTCATCTACCACTGCCCCAGGCTCACACGCCTGGGTCTCCTCTTCCTGTCCCCTTAAAACGCCAGGTTCCACTTGAGCCCAGCGAGGAGTGGGGCCTCAGGGCTCCTGAGAAGTGACTACGTGGGACAGCACTAACTCAGCATCTCCCAAACTCAGCCCAGGCAGAAACCCCAGCCCCTGCGGCCCAGGGAAGCATACTTGACTCTTTTCAAACCCAGAGGGCTACAGCCAGCCCAGAGAACCTCCCACCAGCCCCTGCCACCTCCCCCGCCCCCAGTCTCCCCAGGGCTCAATCCAGGAACCTACCCATAAGGCCAGGTGCAGCCCCTCTCTGGTCCTGCTCAGGTGTGAGCCCTGGCCCTGAAGCTCTGTAAGTAGCTGCCCGTCTGGGGGGAGGGGAAGGGGGCGATGGGGCTGGGGGCGGAGGGGGCCAGAGAGAGGGGGAGGGGGGAGATGGGGGGGAGGGATTGAACATTTTCTTTGTCTAGAACTCCAGGTCACGTGGGCCCCGCTGGAGTGCCTGGTTGGCTGCGAGAGGGCCGGGGGAGGGGGCCGGCTCTCAGACGCTGGCAGTGGGCCAGCCCCTCTCCTCCGGTCCGAAGGGGCGCGGGCCGGCGCTGGGGCCTGGGGGCGAGGCCGGGCCTCCACCCGTTCCCAGGGCCCCGCCCCTGCCAGGCTGGAG